AAGGGCCAGCCGTGCTGCCCTGTTCTGAGCCAATTGCAATTTTCCTAAGTCCCGCTTTTTGGCACCTGACCACACGACTGAACAGTAGTCCAGGTGCGACAAAACTAGGGCCTGTAGGACCTGCCTTGTTGATAGTGCTGTTAAGAATGCAGAGCAGCGCTTTATTATAGACAGACTTCTCCCCATCCTAGCTACTGTTGTATCAATATGTTTTGACCATGACAGTTTACAATCCAGGTTGTGTTGTGAGGGCATTTTAAGCAGCTGAGGTTGTTTCTTGTGTGACAAAACGGCACACTAGAATGTCCCTCTGGTTTATAACCAGCTATACTTGTGTTTGAGTTTTTCTTTGTCACTACCGGCCTAGTGGTGGGGACCAGCTGACGAGTGCTGACTACTGTCGTCATTCAATTGGATCGGCAATTGATACCATAACATATTCAAACCTATTGCGATTCATACCGCAATTCAATTGTGAAATCGCTCACATTCTAATTGCCTCCCATGGACAACGTTTTAATAATGTGTGATGGTTGATAGCTTGCCTATAGGTTTAAAAAAACATAATATCTGTTATGTACTTTATTGCAGACGGTGTGGCCAAAGCCACATTCCTGCTTCATGTGTGTGTGCAGCTATTAGCATACCATAAATATCATAGTGTATATAGACAAACAAAATAAGGATATTTATTCAAACTATACAGGAGCTTCTCATGTAAACCATATTGCACATAATTCTGCACACTTGATTTAATGAAACGATTCACAATTATATTTGGCTAACAACAAAAATGTCTGCTGGTAAGTAAGGTAGGCCTAATTCTTGCAGGGACATGTGGCTTCGGAGAGCCATTTGTCTTTACACTGTACCATTCAGAGGGGGGTATGTGGTGTGCGCACTGACCATATACTGTTACGAAGTGTCATGGTTGGGCATCGTGACAAACAGTGGATACTATGCCCAAATGTAAAGCAAGTGCCGTGCTAAGAACATTCATCTCTGTGGTAACGCTAACATTACAGCCCTTTACGTGAAGCCCACGAAGTCTGGTGTGTTTTTATATTTGCTTTTTGCAAAGGGTATTCCTCAAGCTCTGTCTTCAGAGACACTAAAAGAACATAGCAGGTTACAAGGTAGCGCGTCATATCTACGTTTTGCTGTATGGGTTGTCTCTTGTCAAAGACTGGTCCAAATTCATGTTTCGCCAGCTAACTAGCAGTGTGAGTACTTGACGACGTTCACTGAGGGTTAGTGCTATCCGGAATCCTTGGGACATCGCAAAACCTTAACCCCTACCCTAACCATAACCCTTACCTAACCCGAACCTTGACCCTTACCGTAATAATTAAAAATGTCAACTTCAATGGGGTAGGGACACCCCAAGGAACCAGGGTAGCAAGGGCTGTTCATTGAGGCAATGCTTGGGGCAAGAGGCAGCGCTGTGCCGGCAGCGGAATTTGTGATGTTTTTCCTTTCAACTACCAGAATTCAGTGGCTACAGCCCTACAATCTATGAAAACATAGGACACATCTTCAATGTATTGGTATTTAGCTATGTCGTTGAGCTTAGGCTTCAGTGCTTATAGGCACATGTTTTGCTGGAATCAGTGCATTTTGTCCTCCTTTCACTAGAGTAACACACAGTTTCTTCTATTAAAACATTGTGTCTTTCTGGTGCTCCAAAATGTGGTGGTGCTTACATTAATGTTCTTTCCTCAAATGTAAGTAATCAGCTTTCTTATCTTTGTAGGACTGTTTTAAGCACAATCCATACAGAAAACATGTTTTTATTCCAGCTATTATAATAATACAAACATTTGCAGATATTGGTTATCGGTGAATATTTCCACTTTTAAAATCGGTGTCGGATCCTAAATTTGGATATCGGTCGGGCTCTAGGGTTAAGTTCTATGTTTATGATTCATGCTGGCTTTTATCAGTCACAACAGTTTCTCAGAATGTTCTTCGAAATGGTTGAAGTGAATTCTGCCAAGCTGATTGTGCCCCAACATGTCCCTACAAGGCACATAGACTATGTGTTCCATCTTGCGCAAGAGAATATTTGATGCCGTTATTGTCCCTGATTCTTATCGAAGTAGACCTACATGTTTGTTATTCTTTGGAGAAAATTTCCCTCTCAGGCAACTCAAGTTCAACTTAATGTAAAGGGAATGGAGGTAACCTAAAAGCGCAGACACACCGGTAGGATTGTCAAACGTTAGCCTGCATACAGTACTTAGCACCTCTGAATAGAGTGTTGGCAGTCAATCTCTTTTGTGTTCACACACAGCAGAGACCTTGGAAGTCGGAAGCCACTCAGCCTTGTTAAAATACTCCAAACCAGAAGGTGGCAGTAGTGTTGTTTAGCAGTGCATATCCGTGCGTATTGCTTATGGTCTAGAGTCCAAGCTATCTGCGCTAATGTTGCTATTTAGTAAAAAGCCCTTGTTGATCCTAGCCAGATGGCCCCAGCTAGATAACGGCCTAGAAAGATGAAGAAACAATTTAATTCACACTCCATAATCCCATACTGCCAGTGCCAGCCCATTGCCAAATGGTTAGCATATTCGCTTGCACAACATTGCTAGCTAAGGACACTGCGCTAATTCGGCAGCTAACACGGGCAGCTGTTTCATGGAAACAAGCTAATCTATTGTGATTTAATTATAATGTTAATACTAGCTACTGTGCTGTTTGTGCTGTCATTATTTTACCAAACTTTACATCTGCACTATTCAAGTAAATTCGTTTTTTTTTTATGTTCAGTAGACCTTGTTAAAAGTAGTCCTTGTGCATGGAATTGTATGGTTTATTTAACTTTGCAATCATTGTTTTTTGTTTGACATTTTCAAGTGAAAAATCTGAGTCTCAGCATCACTCTGTTACCGTGGATTTATTTCTAAACACCCTTTTTTTGACATTCATGTTTATCAGATGTAAGTCACCTTATCTTTTCTCTAAGACTGCATTTTATCAGATCGTTTCGAAGCGCAAACTCATGCCTTTTCTTAGCTAGGATACTGTGTTGGCTGTTTTGGAACTGCGTAGTTGGTCATGCTTTCATACATGTGAATGTGCACGATGTGGACAGACAGTTTGCAACATGTAGTGCAGGAGGCTAGAGCGACAGAGTTTGTGACGCAGACAAAAAGGAAGAAAGCGAGAGAATGAGAGGAGAGGGCACTTTACCCTGAGATAACTACGGCTGTACAGTATTAAAGTAGAGAGAAGAGTTAGCATGTAGGAGAGGGAAGGGGGTTTGTTTCCAGCTGCTAAGAGTAAAGTAGTAATAAAGTTAGCCCCATTTGTAGCTGTACCAAAGAGAGAGGCTCAGGAATAAGAGGGAGCGAATGAGGGGAGTGAATAAGGGGAGAGTACACGCTGCCTGCATTCCCCTTTTCGTGGCCTCTATAGTGCTCAGGCGAAGAGCATTGCTATATTGAGCCGTTTTTCTGAAGGAGAATTGTTGCCTCGTTCTACAAAGAATGCACACTTTCCCTTAAATCAGGCATGGAGCAACTGGGGGGGTTGGGGTGGTGGGGAGGGGGTTGCTTTATGTTTTAATGCTGCTCATGTAGTAGACCAGTATTAAAGTAGAAAAGACTTAGAATGTGAAAGTCAGACCTATAGGGTTTTATGATTATTCTGCATTTAGGCTACACTCGTTGGGATTTCCCCCTACATGCTAAGTGCATATCAGGCCATCAAATTAGAGCTGATCACATTGAAACACCAAAGCACAAACCGCACAGAACTTAATTTGAGGGCAACAATCAAATCTATCCACATTGTAATTTGACCCCCACCAAACTGCGCTTGGCCCGCAGAATTCCAGTAAAAGGCCTGTTTTTTTATGGGCCTGTGTGCATGAGAGCGCGCACATGTGAGTTTCATTACTTGATCGCCTCCAGAGACTGGAGTCTGAATTGGTGAATCTTATTACTGGAGGCGGAGCATGTCTGCTAGCAGGATTAGCCACTCGTTGCAGAGGGGGAGAGAGAAGGAGGGATAGAGGTAGGGGGGGAGAGAGAGAGAGCGAGAGGGGGAGGGGGGGGGGGGGGGGGGGGGAATACAGAGGGAGAGGTGGAGAAAGGGAAGGACGGAGAAAGGGAGAAGATATGGAGAGTGGGAAAGCGAGAGAGAGGTAAAATATGCCAAACATCAGTAAAAGGAATGGGTACTTATGCGCCCAGGCCCCTACTGCTGATACCCCAGCCCATAATACATACTGTGGCTGCCACACTAGCTATATCTGTTTATCAAAGTAGACAGCGGACACCTCTTTTTGCCCATTACATTACCCTGGTTCTGTACTGTAGTGGTTTTTCATAATGCCTAAACAAAGGTAGATGAAGTTTGGTTCTTATATATTATAATGGGAATGCTTTGGACTCTATTGATTTTAATCAATTGATGTAGGCCTAAAACAAAACAAGTTTCCTTTTGTTTTTGTTCAAATATTTCCCTAGATGGCAATGGTTCTTGTCATTATCTGTCTGATTATTTCATGGTGGAATCTGTAATTGTGAGTCTTGAAATTGTACATTATGATACTGGTTTATTATAGACCTTCAGTTGAACCAAATATTTAGCACAAAGCGCCAATAAATGAATAATTATTCATTTCTTTATTTGTCTTTTTTCATTTTTGGTTCTCTTGGATTTTTTTCCTCCAGTGTAGCAACAGGCTATTCATTGGCTCTCAGTGAGTGCATGTGTTGCTATTTTCTCTCTGCAGGGGGAGACGTAGTCTCACTTTTGTCATGCCTGCAGCCCCATTTCATGTGTCCAAGCTCAAGGCTACTCCATGTTATATAGTCTATTTCACATGCAACACACTGCATGGTATATTAGTAATAAGCCACACTGACCTGGGCATTTCACCCAATAGCTTTCTAATACTATTGTTACAGATAATTGAGGGAAATAAATATTGATTCAACAAAGCGTTCAACCTCTGTGAGGGAAGTTTATTTTTATTTTATTTTTTTACCCAGTTGCCCCTTCAAGTAAATGGACATCTGACACTATGGCTTCTCTACTGGTCATCAGTTTTCAGTCACACTTTTTCCACATAACCACCTCCCCAGAAGAAAATAAATACCAGAACCTCTGAAAATGCTGGTTAAATGACCGGGACCCTAAATTTAACCAGGTGAGAGCTATCTTTAGTCCGGCGTTGGTGCCTCATGCCATCTCTGGAGTTTAGAGGTACCGTTTGAACTGGGGAGAGATTGTTCCCCTGTAGCCTACACCGCTGCACCACAGCACCAGTGGCAGCTGCGTTGACTTCTTCAACCTGTGGTTGACTGACTGGCTGACTGAGCTGATGCCTTCTGGGATATTATGAGGAGGCCTGCTAAACACGTGGGCTTGTGGAGACTTGTTTAATAGGCCCCTCTCGCTCTCTGTCAAGCACTCCTTCCCCAAGTTGCCAGGGAAACCGGCTTCTCATATTGGGAGAACATTTAAACAGAGAGCTTTGATTTGTGCAGAGCTGTAGTGAAAACAAGATCAGGGTGAATTTTAACATATTCAGTGCCCCCTTTTCTGAAGTGTTTCTGAATGAGAGGAGGAAAGTTTATTTGGTCGTTTTTTTCTTTCGGGAATAGCCTATCTAGCAATAGGCTGCTACTCTAAACGTTCACATTTTCTTGCAGTGTCTTAAAATGAAATGCCTTTGGCTTTGAGTAATTGTCTCAAGCATGGTTGAAGGGTTCTGCTATGTGCACAAGCATTCTAATAATGCGGGAAGATTAAATAAAATTAATAATATAATAATAATAATAATAATATGCCATTTAGCAGACGCTTTTATCCAAAGCGACTTACAGTCATGCGTGCATACATTTTTGTGTATGGGTGGTCCCGGGGATCGAACCCACTACCTTGGCGTTACAAGCGCCGTGCTCTACCAGCCGTGCTCTACCAATGTTTCTCATTTTTGAACTGTGGGAGAGACAGCGCTGAAAGCTGCAGAAGAACTAACCCTACCTGTATGTTTGCATTCCCTATTAGCTCTCTGCAGAGCGAAGGGGCAAATATATTTTCAATTTTTTGCTCTCTCTCGGTCTCTCTCCCCCGATCTCTCTCTTCCCCCCCGTCTCTCTCTTCCCCCTCCTGTCTCTCTCTTCCCCCCCGTCTCTCTCTTTCCCCCCCGTCTCTCTCTCTCCCCCCTCGTCTCTCTCGCTGCCTCTCTCTCTCTCTCTCTCTCTCTGCCTCGCTCTCTCTCTCTCTCTCTCTCTCTCTCGCTCTCTCTCGCTCTCTCTCTCTCGCTCTCTCTCTCTCCGCTCTCCTCTTTCTCCCTCGCTCTCTCTTTCCTCTCTGCCTCGCTCTCTCTCTCCTCTGCCTGCTCTCTCTCTCTGCCTACGCTCTCTCTCTCTGCCTCTCTCTGCCTCGCTCTCTCCTCTCTTCCTCGCTCCTCCTCTCGCTCTGCCATCGCTCCTCTCTCTCGTCTCATCAACGCTCTGCTCGCGTCTGCTCTTTTCTCATCGCTCTGCTCTCTCTCTTCTCTGCTCTCTCTCTCTCTCTCTCTCTCTCGTCTCCTCTCTCTCTCTCTCTCCTCTCTCTCTCTCTCTCTCTCTCTCCTCTCCTCCTCTCTCTCTCTCTCTCTCTCTCTCTGCCTCCATTAGATCCCGTTCTGCTCTGTCTCTTGATCTCGTGGCAGTGCCTCATGGAAATCACCAACTGATCAGCCCAAACATTTTCTGTGTCACTCGACACCGGCCCGTCGGCGTTGGAACTATCAGGTCGCGCAGATGGTACTGAGAAGCAACTTTATCTTCCCCCTCCCCGTGTCACTCACAGGGCTGCTATGGATAGAGTAAATAAACACAGCCCCAGACCCAGGACACTTTGAATAGTACTGTGGTTTGAGGGAATGTCCACCAACCGATTTTGAGGAGGGGGGGGGGGGGGAGGGTATATATATTTTTGTTATAACTGATATAGGTCTACTCAACTCTATGATACTAAAATCAGTGTGTGTACAGATGAGCACACAGAGGTAGCGTTTCACTTTAGGTAGTGTACTTCCTTTGTTAAGAACCCAATGTATCTGTAGTTATCACAAAGGTAAATGCAGTCTTATCTATAATCTAGGAATGCTAGAATATGATTGTAGAAAAAATTGAACACGATGATTGTTTCTAGGCCTAGCTAGGCTTGTTATCCTGCATATTTACTTTTAGCAGCAATGAGGCCAGGTGTAAATTTAGCCCCAGGTTGTGAAGTGAGTTTCCCAGAAGCGGGAGGCCGATGCAGGCAGGGCTTTGGCAATAGAGGGACAGCAGTGTAGGATGTCTGTCTGGGTAGGAAGGTTACACTTCCAAGCCGTGCAGAGGTGGCTCTGGATGCCTAGCTCTCTATTTGGGGAAACTTTGGTGTTCCAGTAGCTCAAAGTTCACTGCTTCTGAGAAAATGCCTCTCTTTCTGGTCTGTGTGGTGCGGTCCACACAGTAATGTCTTCCAGATGACAGTTGTCTCTTTAGCCTACACAGGGTTTAGCGTGTTTAGTGGCTGAAGGTCGCTCTCTTTGCTAATCCAGTTGGTTCACATGCAACCAGACAGTATTATCCACAGCGTTCGGTGCGCTAACGAGGACGTAGCGTTAAATATGGCAGATCATTATTTAGGCAAGTAAGCAGCCTCCTGGGGGAGCGAACGTTTCCAGGCTAATGACCGGTGTGTATGCGTAGATGGCTACGCTAGATGCCCGGTTTTGTGCCCGTTTACAAAAAAGTGAAATCATTTCAGGGTAGAGCGAAATAATTGACATTTGTTTGGTAAAAACAGTAGGATAAATACACATGTAGGAAGAGTCCATTCTTGTTTTTTGCCACTGCATTGCCTTAATATTGGAACCCTTTGAAATCTTCTGAGATGTATGTATTTATTTTAGACGCTCTAGATCTCTTAATTAGAGCAAAATAAAGGGAAAACGTGAAAGGGGCTCCATTCATGGTCGTCTGCGTTTGAAACGGCACGCTGAAATCCTCGAACAGTTGGGCCTTTCAGAAAGGTGCTCTTTCAAAATAACCTTTTCGCAAATCCAAATAAAACCGGTGCCAGCCCACAGACCCTTTCATGTCCACACCTGGAGGCTAAGATCTAATGAAAAAAAGTGGGGGGGAGGAAAGCCTCAGACCTGGCTTGCCTCATGCATATCTCATGGTGTTTGCTTAGCCCCTTGGTCCACCCCAACGCTACCTTCATGGTATCCTACTGCTCGGCACCTTTCCAACCTGAATCGTTCGGTTGTGCACAGTTGCCTTTTGGTCTCTCCACCGGTCCTTTGGTCTGGTGTCTGCTATACCTTTTGAAGTTGCGCTCCAGTCCCAAATCTCCCTTCTTGACCATAAAAAAAAAATGCAAAGCCGCTCTCCTGCCCAACACGTCACACCATGTGAACCCATGGCAACGTGGGATTGATATATTAATAGGCTGCCTGAGGGCGAGGGGTGTGGGTGGAGGTCATCATGGTGGTGGGACTGAAGTGGAGGTCCAAAATGGACCCCTTTGTGTTGTGTTAGAGAGGGTTGGAGGAATTGACTCAGTTACCTATAACAATCCAGGGCTTGGCTAAACCAGGGTGGGGTAATTTTCAATTAATGTACTGATTTTCAATGCACTTCCTGAAATGTTGAAATAAAATTGACCCGAACAACTAATCCCCTTCCTGTCTCACTCTTTGTTAGCCTCCACAATTTTGTTACCTATTGAATCCTAAAACTACCTTTTTAAGTGAAAATGACTTGAAAACTGAAATACTGAACCGCTATTACTCTATTCTCTCGTCTTCCAGGCTCAGCCCTCCTGGACCTGACGGAGCAGTTTGCCCTCCCAGAGACGGCTCCTCCCATGCTGGCCAGGCTGCTGGAGGCCATCGAGAAGAAAGGTGAGCTGGCCTGTACAGAACGGACTAGTACACACACACAATGGTCATCTAAACATTTCCTAGATTTATATTCTAGAAGATCCACCCCTCGTGTATCAACAACATGGTTTCAGTTACTTATGTAATTATTTATTTAACCTTTATTTTGACAAGTCATGCTGAGATAAAGGTCTCTTTTTCAGAAGAGCCCTGTAATTACGAAAATACACAAAAATCAATACAGTATGAAAAGCAGTACAGAGACACAAAACAAAATCATAGAAAACAAATACATTCTTCAGTAAAAAAGTCATTAATCAGCCATCTGAATTGCCCTAGAGTAGGGCTCTCCAACCCTGTTCCTGGAAAGCTACCATCCTGTAGATTTTTGCTCCAACCCTATTAATCTAGCGCACCTGATTCTAACAATTATCTGGTTGATAAGATGAATCAAGTTAGTTACAGCTGGGGTTGGAGCGAAAACCTACAGGGTAGCTCTCCAGGAACAGTGTTGGAGAGCCCTGCCCTAGAGGCATCACAATATCCAATTTTAGAGAGTTTGGGATATTATGCCACTAGTAAGGTGCAAAAAAAACTAAAACCAGATTTACCTAACTCAGTGGAGATCGAAGGGATTTCCAGTTAGCCATCCCTGAGACTGGGTCTGGTAGCTTGTAGTGCGCTTTATTCCCTGAATGTTTTTTATACTTTTTATGACTTTCTAGGAATCGAAGCAGTTGCATCTAAGCTAGTGGCTTATCATGTGCTCCTTGATTCTGTGTAGGTCTGGACAACCCAACGCTGTACAGGACCTTCACAGCCGATGGTGGACTGGATGTTAGACAGTGCTTTGACACTGGTGAATAGAATTCATGTTTATCACTTACAGTGCATTCGGAAAGTATTCAGACCCCTTGATTTTTTCCACATTTTGCTATTATACAGCCTTGTTCTAAAATTGATTAAATTGTTTTTTTCCTCATCAATCTACACACAATACCCCATGTTAGATCGGGTTCAAGTACGGGCTCTGGCTGTGCCACTCAAGGACATTCAGAGACTTGTCCCGAAGCCACTCCTGCGTTGTCTTTGCTGTGTGCTTAGGGTCGTTGTCCTGCTGGAAGGTGAACCTTCACCCCAGTCTGAGGTCCTGAGCGTTCTGGAGCAGGTTTTCATCAAAGATCTCTGTACTTTGCGCTATTTATTTTTCCCTTGATCCTGACTAGTCTCCCAGTCCCTGCCGCTGAAAAACATCCCCACAGCATGATGTTGTCACCACCATGTTTCACCGTAGGGATGGTATTGGCCAGGTGATGAGCATTCAGGCCAAAGAGTTCAATCTTGTTTCTCATGGGAGTCCTTTAGGTCCCTTTTGGCAAACTCCAAGCGGGCTGTCATGTGCCTTTTTACTGAGGAGTGCCTTCCGTCTGGCCACTCTACCATAAAGGCCTGATTGGTGGAGTGCTGCAGAGATGGTTGTCCTTCTGGAAGGTTCTCCCATCTCCACAGAGGAACTCTGGAGCTCTGTCAGAGTGACCATCGGGTTCTTGGTCACCTCCCTGACCAAGGCCCTTCTCCCCCGATTGCTCAGTTTGGCCGGGCGGCCAGCTCTAGGAAGAGTCTTGGTAGCTCCAAACTTCTTCCATTTAAGAATGATGGAGGCCACTGTGTTCTTGGGGACGTTAAATGCTGCAGAAATGTTTTGGTACCCTCCCCCAGATCTGTGCATCGACACAATCCTGTCTCGGAGCTCTACGGACAATTCCTTCCACCTCATTGCTTGGTTTTTGCTCTGACATGCACTGTCAACTGTGGGACCTTATATAGACAGGTGTGTGCCTTTCCAAATCATGTCCAATCAATTTAATTTACCACAGGTGGACTCCAAGTTGTAGAAACATCTCAAGGATGATCAATGGAAACAGGATGCACCTGAGCTCAATTTCGAGTCAAATAGCAAAGGGTCTGAATACTTATGTAAATAAGGTATTTCTGTTTTTTATTTTGTATAAACTCACTAAAATTATGGGTTATTGTGTGTAGATTGATGAGGGGGAAAAATATATTTAATCATTTTTAGAACAAGGCTGTATAATAGCAAAAAGTGGTAAAAGTCAAGTGGTCTGAATACTTTCCGAATGCACTGAATATCCACCCAAGTTCAATGTTATTGTGTGCAATTTTCTTGGGAAAAACAGTTAGACTTTGAACTAATGGTGTGTGGTTGTATTCAGATCCTCCATCAGCAGACCTGGACCAGATGGACCTGCAGATGCTGTGTGACGGTCTACGTCGGTACCTGCAGGATCTTCCGCAGCCCGTCATCCCACCGGCCATCTACACTCAGCTGGTCCAAACCGCCCAAGGTACACACACACACGCTGTGACTATAACACTCCCATTCACTTTCATCAGAGTACACCACATGATGTACACACAATCACATAACCAATATTCTATACCACCCACTGTTGTTTCCTTCCTGTCAATGTTCTACTAGAAAATGGGTCAAGTCCAAATCAGCATGTCGGTTAGAGGTTGCTGTTCGTTCAATTTGTTTGTAGCTCTCAGCAATCACGCCGACTATTTAAATATAGGCTTTCAGTGGAACGTGCCTCAACCCGAAGGTACATGGTGTCTAGTTAATTATTGGCCTACAGCAGCAGTCCTAACCTAATCTACCACTGGCCGGGCTGTTGAACACTCTGTACCATGGAGAGGGAACTCAGAGTACCTAGAGCAAGTGTCAATATCCACCCATTGGCCCTTAGAGAGAGAGAGAGAGAGAGAGAGAGAGAACAGACACACACACACTCTTCCGCTCTCTCTACCTCTCTCTCTCTACCTCTCTCTCTCTCTCTCTCTCTCTCTCTCTCTCCTCTCCTCTCTCTACCCCTCTCTCTCCCTCTCTCTCTCTCTCTAACCTCTCTTCTCTCTCTCTACTCTCTCCTCTCTCTCTCGCTCTCTCTACCCCTTCTCTCTCTCGCTACCTCTCTCTCTCTCTCTACCTCTCTCTCTCTCTCTCTCTCTCTACCCCTCTCTCTACCCCTCTCTCTCTCTCTACCTCTCTCTACCTCTCTCGCTCTCTCTCTTACTCTCTCTCTCACCCTCCAGTTCTTAGGTTCGCTTTATCTCTCTCTCTGTCTTGGGTTGTCTTTCTCTCCTCTCTCTCTCCCTCCCTCCACACCTCCCTCTGTTATGTTCTTCAGTGCTGTCAGAGTAATCGTTCTGTCACATGGCCAGAAACAGGATCTCTGTGGTTAATAGCAACTTACAGAAGTTTATCTCCTGCATCTCTGTGCTAGCCAATCACCTGCAAGTGTACCTTGCACTCCTCACTTATTGTTGAGCACACACAATCTCAATGCAGTTGTCTAACCCGATTACTGAGCACAGGGCTCCTTTTTCTGCCACCACATTGGTCGAAGGGAAGCCTGCTAACACCTCTGTAGCTTCAACTGAGGGAGCTTTTTGAAGGGTTTTGTCAGTGCGTAGCCTGCAGCATACCTGTGCACACATTCATAGTCATACATGTGTGGCAATGCAATGTGTATATCTCCCTCTGTGATCTTTATCAATGAATTTGTGCGTAACCTGCGTAAGTGTTAGCACATACGCCCATAGAAACATGTGTACGTGTGACATACCTCCCTCTCTGACACCTGTGTGTGTGTTGGTCCCACAGAGGTGCAGAGCCCCAAGGAGTGTGCCCAGCTGCTGCGTTGCATCGCCAGCACGCCCAGCCTGCCAGCCCAGTACTGGCTCACCTTCCACTGCCTGCTGCGCCACTGGTCCCGGGTGTGCCACAACGCGTCCAAGAACCTGCTCAGCTCCCGCGCCCTGGGCGAGATCTTCAGCCCCGTGCTCTTCAGACAGCAGGCTGCCAGGTGGGTGGAGGAGAAAGAGAGAGGGACAGGCGCGCACAGACAGACAGACACCTCTACATACTCAAGGAAACACACTCTCAGGCAAGCAGCCTACACTCACACACTCACTGACACACACACACACACATCACTCACTGACACACACACGCTCACTGACACACTCATGGACATTGACACTCAGGCAAGCGTCTTGCACACAGCCTTGTCAGGCATGCACCCACACACACATTTGCAGTGAAAGGATTTAGGCTGGGAAGCTTTTCTATTTGCCAGCTGTGCTGTAGCAATAAAAGCCGTACCATCAGTTAGAGAGGGAGAGCGAGATCATGCACAGATTAACCAGAACAGCAGGGCCAGTCAGCTGGCCTGAAAATCGCTGACTATTTGACTTCATCTTTTTTTTTCTTCTCTTCTACTTTTGTCACTCTTTCATCAGCTGCGAGCCCAGCCCGGATGCTCACATCAAGATCATTGAGACCCTTGTGACTAGCGAATGGACAGAAGCACAGGCGGCTCCAGGTAAGAAACACACATTGTCCTTTTCTATTATTCATCATCTGTTCAAGTTCTGGTTGGGGGTGTATGCAGAGAAACAGAATGACTATATTTAAAGCCAAACGAATGCCCATCCCTTCCTCTGTGAAACGATTTACACTCACGTACTGTACTGTGTTTTTGAAGAGCATTGACAGAATGGCCCCTGTGCATATACAGTGGGGAGAACAAGTATTTGATACACTGCCGATTTTGCAGGTTTTCCTACTTACAAAGCATGTAGAGGTCTGTAATTTTTATCATAGGTACACTTCAACTGTGAGAGACGGAATCTAAAACAAAAATCCAGAAAATCACATTGTATGATTTTTAAGTAATTAATTTGCATTTTATTGCATGACATAAGTATTTGATACATCAGAAAAGCAGAACTTAATATTTGGTACAGAAACCTTTGTTTGCTATTACAGAGATCATACGTTTCCTGTAGGTCTTGACCAGGTTTGCACACACTGCAGCAGGTTGGCCCACTCTTCCATACAGACCTTCTCCAGATCCTTCAGGTTTCGGGGCTGTCGCTGGGCAATATGGACTTTCAGCTCCCTCCAAACATTTTCTATTGGGTTCAGGTCTGGAGACTGGCTAGGCCACTCCAGGACCTTGAGATGCTTCTTACGGAGCCACTCCTTAGTTGCCCTGGCTGTGTGTCAGGGTCGTTGTCATGCTGGAAGACCCAGCCACGACCCATCTTCAATGCTCTTACTGAGGGAAGGAGGTTGTTGGCCAAGATCTCGCGATACATGGCCCCATCCATCCTCCCCTCAATACGGTGCAGTCGTCCTGTCCCCTTTGCAGAAAAGCATCCACAAAGAATGATGTTTCCACCTCCATGCTTCACGGTTGGGATGGTGTTCTTGGGGTTGTACTCATCCTTCTTCTTCCTCCAAACACGGCAAGTGGAGTTTAGACCAAAAAGCTCTATTTTTGTCTCTTCAGACCACATGACCTTCTCCCATTCCTCCTCTGGATCATCCAGATGGTCATTGGCAAACTTCAGACGGGCCTGGACATGCGCTGGCTTGAGCAGGGGGACCTTGCGTGCGCTGCAGGATTTTAATCCATGACGGCGTAGTGTGTTACTAATGGTTTTCATTGAGACTGTGGTCCCAGCTCTCTTCAGGTCATTGACCAGGTCCTGCCGTGTAGTTCTGGGCTGATCCCTCACCTTCCTCATGATCATTGATGCCCCACGAGGTGAGATCTTGCATGGAGCCCCAGACCGAGGGTGATTGACCGTCATCTTGAACTTCTTCCATTTTCTAATAATTGAGCCAACAGTTGTTGCCTTCTCACCAAGCTGCTTGCCTATTGTCCTGTAGCCCATCCCAGCCTTGTGCAGGTCTACAATTTTATCCCTGATTTCCTTACACAGCTCTCTGGTCTTGGCCATTGTGGAGAGGTTGGAGTCTGTTTGATTAAGTGTGTGGACAGGTGCAGTTAATACAGGTAATGAGTGGAGAACAGGAGTGCTTCTTAAAGAAAAACTAACAGGTCTGTGAGAGCCGGAATTCTTACTGGTTGGTAGGTGATGAAATACTTATGTCATGCAATAAAATGCAAATGAATTACTTAAAAATCATACAATGTGATTTTCCGTCTCTCACAGTTGAAGTGTACCTATGATAACAATTACAGACCTCTACATGCTTTGTGAGTAGGAAAACCTGCAAAATCGGCAGTGTATCAAATACTTGTTCTCCCCACTGTATTAAGACTGCAGTGGTGCTAAGCCCATGGTACTGACTGACTGACTGCGGGAGCCGAGGGGAACAGCAGGGAACCTGGGCTGTTCTTAGCAGTACCACAGAGCACAGGATGTACTGGCTATGCTGCACGGAAACAGGCCACCATTGTGGGGCAAAAGCTGCCCCATTGCATACCTGGCTGGTTCAATTTATTACAGCTTTAGTTAAGGTTTTTTGCACTTGTTTAAAAGGCTTTATTGTTATATGCCAGTCAATGTTTGCAAATTGGCTGCAGTTAGCGTGTCTTCATTTATAAACCGGGCAGTTTGGATCCTGGATGCTGATTGGTTAAAACAGCATTCCAGTCGTCTTTATATCGACAATATCATGGGTATGACGCAAAAATACATGTTTACTGTTCTATTTGAAGTATCACTACACAGTTGTTGATATACCACAGCAAATGACAAAAGGAAAGCAATAAGGGTTTTATTAAACACATTATTTATCCTTGCTTCTAGCCTAGCATTTGGCTTGAATAACAACAAGAACAACCCTTAGTTGTGTTATATTGGCCATATACCACCCCCTCTGGCCTTATTGCTTAAATATCAGCCTTTAATTTAGTATAGCGGACATTTTTTCCATACTTGTATAACTCAATCTTTAATACAAGAATCTTGGCTTGGCTGTGTTTGTGTCACTCATCTCTCATTCTTCTGGGACGGGGAGGAACTAGCTTGGCTCATCTGAACAGTTATGCAAATTGCAGCATATAGGCTGCAGGAGTTTATCGTTAACCCATGGTAGTCTCTCAATGATGGGGTCTAAAACGGTGTTGTGTAAAATGGGTTGTTCATTTTTGGTTTGTAGCCCAGGATAGAGTCTTCTTCCTATTTTGAGCAGGAAATTAGTGGCGTGTTGAGATCGAAGTGAAAGTAGTTGAGGTAACAGGGCTCTAGGTGGATTCCGTCCAATGTGCTGTGTAGTGAAGTAGGCTACCCTTGATGAATTATGTAAGACGTTGTACCGCGGCCGGAAATACACAAACTGAATTTTTTACATTTCATAAATTCAGGTCATGAAGGAATAATACCTTATATTGTATTAATAAAAAAAAAATTAAGCAATATAATGTGATTTAATTGTTCATCTAACCAGTAGTGTGGCCTTAGCCTAGCATTCTCTAGACTCCAGCAGACCGGATGGTGTGGGAGTGCAGACCGTTTGCGTGGCACAGTTGGGTTTTTACAGTCGCTAGTTAAAACTGCTTTTGGTGGGCAGGCCCGGGGCCCAGTGCCTGGCTGTGACTGTTGAAAGGTTTTATTACCTGTTTGGGACTATTTATAACGTCCTCCTCGCATGGGCCACTCTCAGCTGTCAGGAGTTCGCACCTGCAGGAGCAATGGGCCGACGGGGATGGTGGCAGACTGACAGGGGGAGGCGGGCGGGCAAGGGCAAGCTCAACACCGCACACTTTGACTCTTCTCTCTCTGCTGAACCAGCCAGGTCCCTTCTTGTGCGAATGAACACTTGTGCGTTCACACACACAAACATACTATGTTCCATGCACAGACACACACACACACTTGTACACACATATCCACACACACGCCAGGCAGGTTGAACTTGGAGGGGAGCCGTTTGGCGGTCAGTTGCGTCAAATTTCACCTGTGTGTGACTGTGTCTGTCTTTGGCAGCACGTGAGTCTGTATCGAAAGCGTGTTTATGTATACTGTCTGCACATGCGTGTTTCTCTGAATGATAACCTGTCTGTGTGTCTGTGCACCTCCTCCCAGTTACTGGGGGCCTATTTTAAGTAACCAGCCAAAGGCCTACTTAGATTTGGTTGGCTGGAAACTGTCTGTTCCACAGAGCACCTCTTGTTAGCCCGGCGGCTGCTCCTACTTCCTAGGGACACCATCCTCCCCCTCTAACCCCTCCCTCCCTTCCCACTCTTAACCCCTCCCTCCCTTCCCCCTCTAACCCCTCCCTCCCTTCCCACTCTTAACCCCTCCCTCCCCCTGTCTCCCTCCACACACCCCTCCCAGCACCAAAGTGCCCAGCTCAGCAAATATTTGAACCTGTGCGAGTTAATCATAAGACTGAACACTCTCCCTACTCCCTTCCTTTCAAACACAGAGAGGGAGAGGGACACGCACACACACTCGGTCGGCACTATGGCCAGGTTTCAGAGTGGGCATTCAGGGCCAGCACTGGGGCAGCAGCTCAGCTAATCATTAACCGGGGGGGGGAGGGAGGCGCGGGACGAGAGAGGGGTAGGTCGGGAGAGTGAGGGGGGGGGGTTGAGAGAGGAGGAGGGGTAGATAGCGGGAGAGGAAGTAGGGAGAGAGGGAGGTGGGGATAGAGAGAGGGGGGGTAGAGAGAGGGGGGTAGCGAGAGGGAGGGGGATAGAGAGAGGGAGGAGGGGGGAAGAGAGATGGAAGGGGTATAGAGAGGGAGGGCGGGGTAGAGAGGGAGAGTTGGTAGTGAGAGGGGGGATTGAGAGAGGGAGAAGGGGGGTAGGTAGAGAGAGACGAGGTAGAGCGAGAAAGAAGGAAGGGGGGGTAGAGAGAGAGAGTGGGAGACTGGGGGGGTGAGAGTGAGGTAGAGCGAGAGACGTACAGAGAGGCACGCTTCCCTCCCTCTCTCACACCACCTGCGCCAGACCAAGGAGTAAGCCAGGCAGTCAGGAAAGCAGAGCAGGCAAGCAAGCAGTCGCATGCTGCACCTGCCTCCAAGAGTTACCGGATTACCAGGATTTCATTAAGTACCACGGAACAGGCCGTCATATCCCTGAGAACTAAAGTAAAAGAATCTGGATAAAGCCACAGAATGGAACTTTTCAGGAGGACTTGAGTGTTCTATCTAGAGCTCTATCTGTTTGGATTTTGTACATCGTTTTGGTGGGAATGAAACAAAGCTCATAGCGGAGACACCACTGGTGCCTTTACCAGAACATGCACAACTTGCAACGTAAGTTTGAGATCTTGAATCTTCACAAATCGGATACATTAAAAGCTTAAAGGTTTATTGCTAATGCAAGGGCTTCAGCAAAACCTTTAGACAAAGATGAATAGGCCAGATTATATATTTTTTTGAATAACTGTACTTGGCAACATGGGACAGGAACGAGACTGACAGATGTATGTGTGTGTATGTATGTATGTATATATATATATATATATATATATATGGCCAGTCTTCTAGAGCTGTCAAGAGAACAGGATCTCTCTCTCTCTCTCTCTCTCTGTGTTGGCTGTTGGTTCTTACAGACCCCATATATCACATTACTGTCTTTCTGTGTGGTCAGAAAGGCACACTGATTTATCTAAGGACTACATTGCAGAATTTTCCATTTAGACTATACCGTTTCAGAGAGGCAATTTTTAGAGGCCCCAAACGGAATTTGGTTTACGACCGAGCTCAAAAAAAACACTTGTGTATGACTTGAATTTAGTGCGTAGCTAGCTATCGTTGAAATGAGATCACGTGTCCTTAAAGAGGTAAAGCCAAGCTCAGCTGTCCTCATCACTCCGATAAGCTTTTATCAGGTATATTGACTTTCAGTCAATGTGGCCTATTTCATCATAACCAAGCTACCTTTGGAAAGATGCCCTTCCCTCCTCCTTTTCCTCCCCATAAGCCGGTCCTGGGATGACAATGACCGCATTCCACTCCTGGCCCCCAGTTTTAAACCCGTACCCAGAACTGGGGCTATTTTAGTGTCCCTCAGCCGCGCAGAGAAGGCCGCCTGGATTTCCTGAGTGTCACTCCTGGAGGATTGCTGGTGTATTTTGGAGCCTACGGATGGCGGGTGGCAGTAGGAGGGAGACTGTGACCGGGCCACAGGCTTTAGGAAGTAGCTGCTCTGCCCGGCCTGCCTACGCAGTGGTGGAAAAATTACCCAATTGTCATACTTGGGTAAAAGTAAAGATACCTTCGTAGAAAATGACTCAAGTAAAAGTTAGTCACCCAGTAAAATACTACTTGAGTAAAAGTATTTGGTTTTAAATATACTTAAGTATCAAAAGTAGATCATTTCAAATTCCTTATATTAAGCAAACCAGACGGCACAATTTTCTAAAAAAATATAAATAATTACAGATAACCAGGGGCACACTCCAACACTCAGACAAAACTTACAAAGAAAGCATTTGTGTTTAGTGAGTCCGCCAGATCAGAGGCAGTAGGGATGAACAGGGATGTTCTCTTGATAAGTGCATGAATTTGACTATATTTTTCTGTCCTGCTAAGCATTCAAAATGTAACGAGTACTTTTGGGTGTCAGGGAAAATGTATGGAGTAAAAAGTACATTATTTTCTTTAGGAATGTAGTGGAGTAAAAGTTGTCAAAAATATAAATAGTAAAGTACAGATACCCCAAAAAACTAGTTAAGTAGTACTTTAAAGTATTTTTACTTAAGTACTTTACACCACTGTGCCTACGTGATGCAGAGCTGGCTTTGTCTCTGTGCCAACAGTGGGCAGGACTAAACCAGCGCACAACGTGAGGGGAGGTGGTGCCGAGCAACCAGCAGGGGAGGGCTGAGAGTCAGAGCAAGCGAAGAAAAGAAAGAGAGAGGCTGCAGGTTTTTTCCTCTCACATTGTGCTACAGTTAAGAGAAGATGTTGCACGGTTTGGTTTCGCAGCAGCTATAGTCAGATCTATCTTTGGAAGGGATGCTGTGTACTGAACAGAGGTTGTTATAGGGGTATTTTAGCCTGCGCGTGTTCTAGTCTATATAGATACTGTGATCTGCACTGCATGGGCTGTGGACATTGAGGGATAGCAGCGGCAACTAGAAAAAGGCAAGTGAGCTTTCAAAATGATGACATCGCTCTCAGGAAATGAAAAATGCAGGAGTGGTCGGTGACAGTCCCCCCCGTGTGATTGGCTGTGGTAAGTGATGTAACACGTTACTGAGCAAGGAAGCAGGCAAACTGCCCTTTATGATGGCTTTTTTAAATGGGTTTCGAGGTGCCCGTACAAAGAGAACAGGGCTCCTTTCCGGGCGTATTACGATATTTTATTATCATTAAAATGTGCAACAAGGTGATCTCTGAAGCATGGATGACTTGGAGGACTCGTGTCTGAGACCCGAGTTCGACGCCGATTCAGAACCTTTTTTTTACCTAGAGATGGACCTTCCAGGTAGGCGAACTGACTCGCTCAGTCACGTTGGATGTTGCATGACAAGTCTGTCTTGTAGCATGCTGAGACATTGGTTTCAGTATGACCGGGAGATGAGTCTGAGACTAGGGGCTAGCAGCAGCTCAGGAAGTTCACAAGGCAATGTGATGTGTTCTGGTGGTGGTGGTGAAATGTCACCTTGGCTGTCAGCCCAAAACCTGCTGCTTTCATTTCCATACCCTCTTGTCATCTCCAAGCTTTATTTCTGAGCTCCTCTCTTTGGGATCAGTGGCTTTAGGCACTGCTGCCACCAGTTCGGTGTTGATGTTTATGTACTGTTATATATAATATTCCATCTCCATAGATATGGCTCATGTTATGAATATCTATATTATACCCATGGTTCGGTGTCTCTCCTGCTATACTAAAGCCGAGAGAGAGAGAGAGAGAGACAGTGTTAAAAATAGCTCTGCTCCTCTGAGAGAGAGGCAGGTTAACGTCACTTGTGAGTAGCCAATCCAGTGCAGAAATTAGGGCTTTTTGATGAGCCCATCTCCACAGAATGATTTACGAAGGGGTGCTATGCAAGGATCAGCATCAGAGACAATGGACACTAGCCCTAGCAACGCTAGCAGCATGGAATCAGATTGGCAATCTGCATTAGGAAGAATGCTGTTGCTGAGAAGAAGCCATTAGAAGAGAAGGGACTGGATGTGCTCAATGCCGCGCAATGATTTTTTTTGTCAATGGATCTCAGTGGGTTCATTGATTTTTGTCTCTACAGACAGTTATATTGGTAGATATGTGGCTGAGTTATAGGACTTACAGGATGATACTCCAATGGTTTAGCGCTATTTGTATTTGAGCTGCTGGATCACAGCTGTGCTCCATTTAGGTCTGAAATTGTGTGGCCATTCTGCAGAAAGGCAGAGATAATCTGTGCATGGTATAATTGGGTCAACAGATGGGGTTGATTTCCAGTCGTTGTGATTTATGGTTAGGTCCAAACACTGGAGACTGGAGATAGTGATGGGAAGGGGCTTCTTTTTCCTGAATGAAATCAAGTTTCCCTGACACATACTCTCTCGCTCTCTCAAGTGGAGAGAATAGTGGGGAGGATGATGGAGGGAGGATACTGCTAACTGCCGCAGACGTTTGATTGGGTTCAGGTCTCCTGCTCGCGAGGCAAAGAGACATCCAGTTGAATGTGTATCGCTACAGATTTGTGGGCCAATTGAATTATCTGAAAAGCAAATGGAATAATATTGCCACTCGCAGCTATAGAGTAATAGATATTTCAACACCCCCTTCCAGCTCCCCCTGGAATACTCTGGCTAAGCATTACATTATAGCCTAATGGGCAGCAGGTAGCCTAGCAGTTAGTGCATTGGGCCAGTAACCGACAGGTCGCTGGTTTGAATACCCGAGCAGTCAAGGTGAAAAATCTGTCTGTGCCTTTATAATAATATGCCATTTAGCAGACGCTTTTATCCAAAGCAATTTACAGTCATGTGTGCATACATTTTTACGTATGGGTGGTCCCGGGGATCGAATCCACTACCCTGGCGTTACAAGCGCCATGCTCTACCAATTGAGCTACAGAGGACCACACAGAGTAAGGCACTTAACCCTAATTTGATACAGGGGTGCTGTACTACCATGGCTGACCCTATAAAACACACATTTCACTGCACTTATTCTGTGTATGTGACAATAAAACATACCTATATATTTTTTCTTAGACTACGGCAGGATTTTCTGACATCCCTCCTGATAACTTTATGATCGTGTTTATTGCACTATGGTTTTTGACTGTATCACTATCTCATGTACTAAGCAACCATCTCTCCCCTTTCGTCCACTACAGCCCTACCTCCCAAGCCACCAAAACCCACGCCCCCTGCTGTCACTAACAACGGTATGAACAACAACATGGCACTGCAGGACGCCGAGTGGTACTGGGGAGACATCTCCCGCGAGGAGGTCAACGAGAAGCTGAGGGACACGGCCGACGGTACGTTCTTGGTCCGTGACGCCTCCACCAAGATGCACGGCGACTACACTCTCACGTTGAGGTAAGACTACCCTTCCCCCTTCCCTTCCTCTTAAAGACTTCTTCTCAGCATTCTTGATAACACGTGTTTGTTGATAATTTAGTTTTTAATTGGTTCTCTATTGGTTTCCATCTTCAGAAAAGGGGGTAACAATAAGCTGATCAAGATATTCCACCGGGATGGGAAATACGGCTTCTCTGACCCCCTGACCTTCAACTCGGTGGTGGAGCTCATCAACCACTACCGCAACGAGTCCCTGGCCCAGTACAACCCCAAGCTAGACGTTAAGCTGCAGTTTCCAGTCTCCAAGCACCAGCAGGTAACTATCAACATAATCATCAACTTTATTTGTTTAGGACTTTTCCTACAATACATCCTAGCTAAAAGGTCTTTGCAAATTCATCATCATAAATCTGAAGTTCCAATCCATTTCTTCTCCTTTCCTCCTCAGGATCAGGTGGTGAAGGAGGACAACATCGATGCTGTGGGGAAGAAGCTCCATGAGTACCATCAGCAGTACCAGGAGAAGAATCGAGAGTACGACCGACTCTACGAGGAGTACACCAGGACTTCCCAGGAAATCCAAATGAAAAGGACAGCAATCGAAGCCTTCAACGAAACCATCAAGATCTTCGAGGAGCAGTGCCAAACGCAAGAACGGTACAGCAAGGAGTACATCGAGAAGTTCAGGAGGGAAGGCAATGACAAGGAGATCCAGAGGTAAGAACTTGGATCTAGACCCCCAAAAAACGTATAAAAAGGTTCAATTTGGTCAGTAACGTTTTCTTAACTGATCAATTTCTTAATGTTTCTTAACTATGTGAATTATTGTTTTTCTCAGGATCATGGGCAACTATGAGAAGCTGAAGTCTCGTATCAGTGAGATCGTGGACAGCAAGCGGCGTCTGGAGGAGGACTTAAAGAAGCAGGCTGCTGACTACCGAGAGATCGACAAACGGATGAACAGCATTAAGCCCGACCTCATCCAGCTCCGCAAAACCAGGGATCAATATCTCATGTAAGTATCATCTCTATCCACCTCCTAGTCTCAAATAAATTCAAATAACTTTGTTCTTGTGAGGGAACATCTTGTAAAGGTCTCCCTACCCCTGGGTTTCTAATCAGTGTTGTCATGGTTCTTGTGTTGCAGGTGGTTGACCCAGAAGGGAGTCAGGCAGAAGAAGCTCAACGAGTGGCTGGACATCAGAAACGAGAACACAGAAGAGTGAGTATTCTAGACTGGCCTTCCATCCTTTTTATGTTCCTGGTATCTAAAGGAGAATCACATTGCACCATTTTTAAATGGGGTAGAAACATCTGAAAAAGTTTGCCATTGAATATCAAACTTAAGTATCTAACTCCCTCCCTCCGTCCATCTATGTTCTTCAGTCAATACTCTGTGGTGGATGACGATGAGGACCTTCCCCACCATGACGAGCGCTCCTGGAAGCTGGGCAACATCAACCGGCTGCAGGCAGAGGCCCTTCTCCGGGGGAAGAGGGACGGAACATTCCTGGTTCGAGACAGCAGCAAGGCAGGGTGCTACGCCTGCAGTGTTGTGTACGTATAAAGACCTTGTACTCATTCTACTTGCTCATTATAGTACAGTTGTGTACACATCTACCTTGTCCAGAACTGACATTACCTGCTTTGGTTACTGACATAATTTACCTAGGAAGGACTGCAAACACAGTTCAGAGACCGTTTGGGTACAGGTTTGAAGGTTGGGACTGTGTTGCTTTACACAGTTCAGAGACCGTTTGGGTACAGGTTTGAAGGTTGGGACTGTGCTGCTTTACACAGTTTCTGTTTACCTCAACCTGTATTCCAGCTATCTGCTCCTACACTGTTCAGTACATCGACGTTGGCACTGCAAACACACATCAGACACTGTAGACCGGTGTAGCCTTCAGTGTAGACATTGCAGCTCAACCATGGACTAGTCTAGTGTAGGGTAGAACCTCACGTGACCAAGGGCTTGATGATTAGTTGAGTCGTAGAGTCAGGTGTACCCTAGTGCTGGGCTGGATCAAAAATGTACAACCCTGACCTAACAGGACATGACTTGACATTTCTCTCTGTCTCTCCTCTCCAGTGTGGAAGGTGAAGTGAAGCACTGTGTCATCAACAAGACGCCCTCAGGGTTTGGCTTCGCTGAGCCTTACAACCTGTACAGCTCGCTCAAAGAACTGGTCCTCCACTACCAGCACACGTCACTGGTCCAGCACAATGACTCTCTGAATGTGACACTAGCGCACCCCGTCTACACACAGCAGAGGCGGTGAGGACCCTACCGGCCATTCAGTCGGACAGAAACATCTATATCTTGTGCTCGGACTTTGGACTCAAGGATTTAAAAAAGCTAGGCTGTGTCTTGCCTACTAACATACATACTTTTTTAAGAGAGGAAAGGACTAAAGACAAACCACAAAACGAAGCCTGAAAACATTTCAGCGACTGTGAACTGACTGTGAGCAGTGGCGAGAGCCTGAATGTAGTCTTGTTACTCTCGTGCTTATTGTGGGAGCACAGAGTCAAGGTGAAACTGCTGAACTCTCTCCCCGAGCGGAGGACATTGGAGGCCTTTTCCTAATGGTGCTTGATCTTTTCAAAGCTTTACCAGCTGGAATGTCAAAACGCAGATAAAACTTGAGTGCATCATTTTTTTCCTACCGTTCCTCCTCCTCTTTTCCCCCTTTTGTTTTTACTGTGTGTGTGTGTGTGTGTGTGTGTGCGTCCATGTGACCAAAACTCACAGTATCTGAAAGCTGTTTGGTGTTGGGGGTGTCTAAAACACCTGTGTGTTTAAGTGTTCAGTGACAGACCGTGGATCAACTGATAAATGTAGCAAAATGGCACTTTTGACAAAGTATAATTGTTTTAATGAAAAACTCCTACGGACTTGTTGAATCAAAGGAGCAAATGAGAGGACAAGGTGGCAAGAATTCCGGACTTTTCCCTTGCTAAGAAGTGCAGAGACTCAACTGTTCTCTGCTGTGGATGAGTGAAAATATGAAATGGACTTGAAATGGAAATACTTAATTATGTATATATACAGAGGAGAATGTCAGTACGACGAAAACCTACCATACCAAAAAAAGCTTAGTTCCTTTTCAGTTATATCCTAATCTGCTATGCAATTCTGTGTCTCCCTTATTTCTGCAAAGTTGTGTTTTTATTCTGTTGCAAACCCATAATATAAGCTTGCTTGAAAAAGTGTATTTTTCCCATGTAAATATCCAAGAGGATATTTTGTGTCAAAATGCCAAGATAAAAACTGCTTCAGATTTTTAAGAAAGTAAATAATAGGAAAATATACTTTATTACAAATTACTTTATCAGCAACTGATGAAAATATGAGTATTTTATTAGTACTTGAAACTGATGTTCTTCTCAGGCAGAGAGCCTTTTGAGTATTTGACAGCTGCTTCAGTCACAATAAATATTTCTAACAGAGCCACATGTTCTAGATCTTAGTCGAAAAACAAACAATGGTAGCATCCCAAGTGGCAGCCTATTCCTTAGAGGATACAGGGAATAGTGTGCCATTTGAGACGTAGACTATGACTCTTAAGTATGAGCACTCTTAGCATGGAATGATGGGAATATTTGTTGATTACTGCAATCATAATGGTGCATGTTGTACTCAACTTTTCAACCATCTCCATGGAAACAACAGTATAGATTTATTTTGTTATATAACCTTTCCCCTTCACAAGGAGATCGAAGCAAATCTGTGTTTTTAAATGACGGAAATTGTTATTAAAAAGATCAGTTGGGAGACATTTGATCTTCCCATATGCATTGTCCCTATAGTATTTTTTTCTGTATCAGAAAATCTTTTGAGTGTTTATAGGAGTGGACCAACTCATTTCGATTAGTGATTGCTTATTATCGTACAACATTGTATGCCAATACATAGTGGTTCTGTTACTTGGAGAAAGTACCAACATTTTGCTGCCATCCCTCTAGTAAACATTAGTGTCACTGCTGCAGTTTTAGTTTTTTCACCCCTTTATTCAAAAATTCAAATGTCTATGAGTGTAAATTAGGGTTTTAATCTGTACTACACTGTGAACATGTATCAGTGGAAATTCACATTGATAGAGATTGTATGACCTAAAATGACAAAAATAATAATCTTGATACATTTCTTTTTAAGTCCCCAGAATTATAAACATAGTAACTTTTATGTACATAAATAGATTTGATATTAATTATAAAATATTACATTTTTACATTTTAGTCATTTAGCAGACGCTCTTATCCAGAGCGACTTGCAGTTAGTGAGTGCATACATTTTCATACTGGCCCCCCGTGGGAAACGAACCCACAACCCTGGCGTTGCAAGCGCCATGCTCTACCAACTGAGCTACACAGGGCCCATATTATGTTCAACTTGAATAATTACACTATCAGCTAAAGACAACATCCAAGCACACAGCCATGCAATCTCCATAGACAAACATAGGCAGTAAAATGGCCTTACTGAAGAGCTCAGTGACTTTCAACGTGGCACCGTCATTGATGCCACCTTTCCAACAAGTCAGTTCATCAAATTTCTGCCATGCTAGAGCTGCCCCGGTCAACTGTAAGTTCTGTTATTGTGAAGTGGAAACGTCTAGGAGCAACAATGTCTCAGCTGCAAAGTGGTAGGCCACACAAGTTCACAGAACGGGACTGCCGAGTGCTGAAGCGCGTAAAAATTGCCTGTCCTCAGTTGCAACACTCACTACAGAGTGCCAAACTGCCTCTGGAAGCAACGTCAGCACAAGAACTGTTCGTCGGGAGCTTCATGAAATGGGTTTCCATGGCCGAGCAGCCGCACACAAGCCTAAGATCACCATGCGCAATGCCAATCGGAGTGGTGTAAAGCTCGCCGATATTGGAGCAGTGGAAACGTGTTCTCTGGAGTGATGAATCTGGCAGTCCGACGGACGAATCTAGGTTTGGCGGATGCCAGGAGAACACTACCTGCCCCAATGCATAGTGCCAACTGTAAAGTTTGGTGGAGGAGGAATAGGCTGTTTTTCATGCTTCGAGCTAGGCCCCTTAGTTCCAATGAAGGCAAGTCTTAACACTACAGCATACAATGACATTCTAGATGATTCTGTGCTTCCAACTTTGTGGCAACAGTTTGGGAAAGGCCCTTTCCTGTTTCAGCATGACAATACCCCTGTGCACAAAGTGAGGGCCATACAGAAATGGTTTGTTGAGATTGATGTGGAAGAACTTGACTGGCCTGCATAGAGCCCTGACTGCTTTCCTATTGAACACCTTTGGGATGAATTGGAAAGCCGACTGCGAGCCAGCCTTAATCGCCCAACATCAGTGCCCGACCTCACTAATGTTCTTGTGGCTGAATGGATGCAAGTCCCCGCAGCATTCCAACATCTAGTGGAAAGCCTTCCCAAAAGAGTGGAGGCTGTTATAGCAGCAAAGGGGGGACCAACTCCATATTAATGCTCATGATTTTGGAATGAGATGTTCGACGAGCAGATGTCCACATACTTTTGGTTGTGTGTGTGTGTGTATATATATATATATATATGTATGTGTGTGTGTGTGTGTGTATGTGTATATATGGGTGGCAGGTAGCTTAGTGGTTAAGAGCGTAGTGCCAGTAACTGTCGGTGCCCTTGAGCAAGGCACTTAACCCTATTTGCTCCTGTAAGTCGCTCTGGATAAGAGCGTCTGCTAAATGACTAAAATGTAAATATATATATATATATATATATATATTCAAAAGTAGGCCTACTCGCCTTAAAATAATGTTGATGTTTAAATATACACTTCTCTTTCGCTGCTGCTTTTAGCCAAACTACTGTCCACTGTTTAGCGCTGCAATGTGCATGTGCGTCATTCTGATTGGTCAAGAGTCAATAGCTATTTCAAATCCCTATTTACAGCAATGCATTTAATTTCATGTATGACACATTTCCTTTGTGAGCCCCCATGGGAGTGGAATTTGACGAAGCGTAAGCAAAATAGTCTGTGCAGTGTTTATGAGATGCTCTTCACACTGTCTAGCAGTCTTGCCTCAGTGTATGACCAAAACGGTTATCATGTAGAATTTTCCTTTTTACACATAAAAAAAAAGTGTATCATCCTGGCCCATAGACTACTTTCAGGGTGAGGAACCATCTAACATAATTGTCGTTAACTTTTGCTTTACTCACATTGGTTCACTCGAGGACAATAACTACAGAACCAGTTAAAACAAAGCAAGTTTGGATTCAAGCTACTATGTCACCTCTGGGACAAATACCCATTGTACTATACAGTACCTTTTCAAGTTTGTTGTATAATTGTAGTTTGATCTCAGGCTCTGTGGCCATGGTCTTGTTTGTGTCACATTTGTCCAAAGTGTCGTCTCTACGCTCTGTGTTCTTTGGAAAAAAACTGTACTGTTTTGAGGGTTTGACTTTTCTTTTACCCCTCGATGACTGTATGACTTCAGTTGACACGTTCATCTGTGAGTTGACTGACAGAAATGTTGAGATTGAGATTGACCAGTGTTCACCAGTTTTGCTTCAAACCTGTATTAGGCTTTGTTAAAAGAAAATAAAAATGTGTTTTTAAGAAACTGTTTTTATTGAAGTAAATTGCTAATTTTACCAGATTATTGTGACACCTATGGACCCCTACCAGCTGAAAAGTACAACTAGACGACTTCAAAGAAAAAGGAAGAAAGAATGAAGGCTCCTTTTCAGTTGCAGAACTCTGTGTACAGTTGGGTGTCTTTGAGGTTATGCAAATTCCGGGTATGGCAAGATGGCATGGTGTTGATGTCACCGGTAATATGAGAACAGAGAGCGTCAGAACGCTTTGTTCCCTCTGAGAACATTCACATTGTGACTGAATTTATAGAGGCGTATGTGGTTTTAGCTATTTTATCACTCATCACTTAATTCTAGAATGGACTTTCAGTTCCTACATTTCACCAATTAATTTCTACTTGCAGTTAATGACATCATTTTATTAAATTAAATGGATCTATCAGATTTGACTTTTTTTGTCATGTTCCCCAAAAAGCACAGTGTTCCTTAACCAGGCTGTGGTTACTTAACTTATTAATGCCTTGACCCACCAAAACAGTCTTGTCACCCCTTATATTAACAAACTATTGGTTCCATCAATAGCGCAATCTTAAGCTGCAACCCAGTAGTGGTTGGCTGCGATCCACCATTGTGTGAAACAAGTTTATCACAGTCTTTTAACAGGTCTTAAGTGTTACAAAGACATCCAGTGATGTGCCAGCAGGCCGTGCCAGACATGACTGACTCGGAGCGATGAGTCTTTGTCCAGGGTTATGTAACATTGCTCCAGCTCAAAAGGCACATACAGTTGAAGTCGGAAGTTTACATACACCTTAGCCAAATACATTTAAACTCAGTTTCTCACAATTCCTGACATTTAATCCTAGTAAAAATTCCCTGTTTTAGGTCAGTTAGGATCACCACTTTATTTTAAGAATGTGAAAAGTCAGAATAATAGTAGAGAGAATTATTTCTTTCAGCTTTTATTTCTTTCATCACATTCCCAGTGGGTCAGAAGTTTACATACACTCAATTAGTATTTGGTAGCATT